GAAGTTGAAAGACAGCGATGAGATTGAAGATGATGTGCGAGAACGCAGGAGATGCTGAAGGATGGAGACCCGGGGATGTGATGAGACTCTGGGACGTACAGATGACCATCGAGGACGAAAAGTTCCTTCCTGGTGTCCTTCATGGTGTTCTCGCATAGATAGTCAATCAGAAAGGCAATGTTTGCGGGCTTGCCGTCCTTGTTCACCGCCGGGATGGAGAGCGAGTGACGCCGCTCGTCGGAGAAGAGCATCTCCAGGCCGCCGCTGCAGGGAGCTTGTCAGTGATGCATTCGTACCTGAGCAGCATGCACGCGCGATTCCAGATGAGGTCCGTATCCGAGTCATCCTCGTGGCAAGGTCTCAGGCAGAAACGTCCACGAGGAAGAAACGGTTTCTGGAAGAGTACAGCGTTATGGAAGGACGGGCATAAGAGAGGGACGCACGAGAACTCCACGACCAGGCTGATCTTCTTCTCCTCCCCCGCATCTGCAGCGTTGGTCGCCATTTCTTCTTCCTCGGACTTTGGTAATATGTGACGGTCAAAAATGCCGGCACGCAAGCGACGTCGGAGAATAGATGAGGAAAATGAGATGTAATCACAATAGAGTTTGTTTGTCCTTCAGGCACGGACGATGTACGAAGGATGAACTGGGTGCAGTTGTTGGTTTGGTAGGGGTTTTTTCAGACGGGGGCCGAACAGGAACAGGCACAGGGCAGTCCAGCGGCAGCATGGATACCTCGACTGCTGTCGGCGTCAGTGGAGCCAACGGTGCGGCGGCGCCGCCACCACCTACCGGGCGGCAACCCCTCACTCACTTGGGCACACTAACAGCTCTGGGTAGGCCACTGTAGCGTAGCGCGCTGTAAGCTCAGGGCGCCGCCGTAAACCCCCGCCCCCACCACGAAAATTTCAACTTCACCTCTTGACTCTCGCTCGTGAGCCAATCACAACGTCGTATTTGTGTCAACCCAAAGACTCACTCGCCTGCCCTGCACAACAACGCTGTGGGCCAGACAAGATGGCTACTATTCAGCCATCCATCAAGTACCTGTCTACGGGAGCGAATAGACAGACTGCTGCCGCTGATTGGAGTCCTTGCGGTCTGCTCGCCTTCGGTGCTGACTCCAATATAGCTTTGTGGGCGCCCTCTGTACGCTGTATCGTCCCCCTGTCTGAGAGCCTCTTGACTGATAAAGAAGTAGTCTGAAAATGCAGAGGGTATAACGAACCTTCTGAGTGGGCATAGAGAGGTTGTGAAAGCAGTCAAGTTCCTTCCTCAAGCAGAGGGCGAGGACCGCAGGCTCATTATCAGTGGTTCCGATGACCAAACACTGAAGATCTGGGCTCTGGACCCCAAGAACAACCAAGGAGAATGCATTCAAACGATACAAGAGCACACTGCGCCTGTAAACTGCATAGCAATCTTGAAGTCCAGAAGCACGCCTAAGAAAGTTCTCCTGGCTTCAGGGGCTGCTGATGCAACTATCAACATCTGGGAGTTTACCTCAGGCCAACTACAGCTCCGCCAGACCATCAAGTCCGCGCCGAGATATTTCCCGTTATGCCTGGCGCTGACGGCCTTGGATGAAGCTGAGGACGTCTTTGTTCTGGCAGCTGCCGGGACCAAGACCTTCATCCAGATTTTCGTGGCCACCGCCGGCGAAGACACCATCAACTTCCAACTGCAAGCGACTCTGTCCGGCCATGAGGGCTGGATGCGATCTTTGGATTTCACATGGGAAACCTCTGAACCAAACAGCGATATTCTGCTAGCCTCAGCAAGCCAAGACAAGTACGTCAGGCTCTGGCGCCTCCATCAGGGCAAAGAACTTCCCTCCCTCGCAGTGGAGGGTTCAGACCCTTCCAGCGGTGCCTACCTCCCTGGCAGGTCACCATCCAACAAAGCCCACCGCCTACATTCCGGCGGCAAAGATTTCTCCATCACTTTCGAAGCTCTTCTTCTGGGTCACGAAGACTGGATCTACAGCGCAAGATGGTTCACCCGCGACTCCAAGCTCCAACTCCTCTCTGTCTCCGCAGACAACTCCCTCGCCATGTGGGAGGCCGATGCCACCTCCGGCATTTGGGTCAGCATGGTTCGTCTCGGTGAGATCAGCAGAGAGAAGGGTGCGACGACGGCGACAGGCAGCATTGGCGGCTTCTGGACGGGTCTTTGGGGTCCGGATGGTAAGTCTGTTGTCTGCCTCGGCCGCACGGGCAGCTGGAGACGTTGGGTGTACCGCGAAGAGCGTGATGAGTGGCAGCCCGCAATCGCCATCACCGGCCATACGAAGAACATCACGGGCATCGCTTGGTCGCGGGATGGAGACTACCTCATGTCTACGAGCTCCGACCAGACGACCCGCCTCCATGCGCGCTGGAAGAGGGATGCCGCTGTCGGGCGTTCATGGCACGAGATGTCCCGGCCGCAGATTCATGGCTACGACCTAAACTGCATCGACACTCTCGGCGGCTCCCAGTTCGTGTCCGGCGCGGATGAGAAACTCATGCGGGTTTTCAGCGAGCCCCGCGCTGTGGCACAGATGCTGCAAACTCTTGGTGGTATCCAAACGGAGACGGAATCGATGCCGGACGGTGCGAATATGCCTGTTCTTGGCCTCTCTAACAAGGCCATTGACGCGGTCGACGACGACGTGGAGGTTGAGGCCGACAGCCATTACGACCGCGACGCCATCGACCCCGCCACGATCGTCCGCAAGTCGATGCTCGACATCGATCACCCGCCCTTTGAGGAGTCGCTCTCTCGTCACACTCTCTGGCCCGAGACGGAGAAGCTGTACGGTCACGGCTACGAGATCTCATGTCTGGCGGCTAGCCATGATGGCAAGCTGATTGCTAGTGCCTGCAAAGCGAGTTCGCTCAACCATGCCGTCATTCGTATCTTTGAGACGGAGCGCTGGACGGAAGTCAAGCCGCCGCTGGCTGCGCACACCCTCACAGCCACCAGACTGCGTTTCTCCCCCGACGACCGCTTTCTTCTTAGTGTCGGACGTGACAGGCAATGGGCTGTCTTCCAACGGGATGAACAGGAATCTTCCAAGTACGAGCTCCTCCAGGCAAATCCAAAGGGTCATACGCGTATGATTCTGGACGCCGCCTGGGCTCCATCCACAGACGCTAGAGTGTTTGTCACAGCAGGACGTGATAAGAAGGCCAATGTTTGGGCCAGCAAAACCCAAGATGGTGGCAAGACGGAGTTCACGCTCGCATCGAGCATCGCATTTGACGGCCCCGTCACGGCTATCGACTTCCTCGGCAGACCAGGCCCTGGAGGTGAACTGATCCTTGCGGTTGGCACAGAGTCAGGGAAGATTTCCATCTGTACCTCGGCCCCTGAGAGCTTCCAATCGACTGCAACACTCCAATTGGCACCGCAGTAAGTTTCCCCTATAATGAATACCTAACATCATCCACCTAATTCTGTATAGATTTTGCCTTCCTAAGCCAGTCGCCCAGCTCTCATGGCGCCCATCAACCAGTCCAGATGGCGGCAACGAACTGGCTATCGCGGGCGAAGACAGCTCCCTGAGGATATACAGCTTCACAAGCCTTAGCGCACCAAGCCCAACAAACGAATGAATCCAACTCCCTCGAAAGGAGAGACTTTTCCATTGAGGTCTATGTATGAGGGTATGATTAAACATGCGTCGCCGCATGTACGAGTTTTATATTAGTGTCGTCCAACTGGTCCGCATAACCAAAACCAAAAACGCCTACACGTATCACGCATGCCACGGCTAGCCCCACGCCGACACGCCCTTCGAGCTCTTCATCAGACGTTCAGCACTGCCGCTATTATTACTCTGCTTCCCCTCTTTCTCGTCCATCACTTCGTCATTCCCGTAGTCGACATCATGCCATGATTGCTCGTGGGGGCAAGGAACAAAAAGCCTGTTTACAGCTCCTTGACAATCTCAACCGTCTCCTTGGCGAGCGCAGCCGCCGCCGTCGTGGTCGACTCGGACATCAAGCTCTCGACCGCGGCCTTGGTGACCTCCACCGCGGCGACGACCGCATCGATCGGGTCGCCGTGCATGTAGAACCACGCGCGGTTCAGGATGAAGGCGATGTGCTGGGGGAGGTACAAGATGGTCGCAATGATGGTCAGACTGCTGAGGAGGAAGAGGAAGGTGTCTGTTTGTCGCGCGCAAAGCTTTGGTTAGCCAACCCGGATAGTTCGGTATGAAATGACACCATGGATTTTGGGGACAAAAAGGGGGTGGACCGCCGAAGCACGGATTAGACTATAGAAACGTACAGAAAATGAACTTCTCAAGAGGCGTGAAGATGTACACGCTGAAGGTAACCTCGATCTGGTACTGCTTCAGGTGCAGCCACTTGCTGAAGGACTGGAGGGCCGACATGGTGATCTCGTCAAAGGTTTCGTTTCGTGTCTTGCGCTCGGATGGTCGGTTTTCGACAGTGGCGTCGTATAGAACTCGAATGCGTGTGCGCCGAATGTTCCTCGAAGAAAACAAGTCACCCAAGTCTAGAAGAACGAAAACCCGTCTCGACGCCGTGGACCGAGCAAAGTGGTGTTGAGTCGTGGAATGCGTGCGGTAGGTAGTTTAGGAGGTTCAGCGGAACATCGGTCGCGGCGGGAGGGAGGTCACCAAATCTTATCAGTAAATTGGCCTTGGACCGGGCCCACGCGACATACACTCAGCGCACCGACCGACCGATCCGCATCAGAAAAAAAAAAAAGACAGCCTCACTCACACTGGAACCCACACCGCCAGCGAACCAAAAGCGGGGACCACTCTACAGAAGGCCGATCCGCCACCCTTTCGAAATGAATAACACACCACCCTGATTGGCCAACTGCCCTTCGGGTGCACCATTACGCGGAAGCAGCCGGCCGGCAGCTGGCACATCGAAGCTCTCATCTTCGGAAGGCCAAGCTTGGCATCGCTCGCCTCGCGCAACGACGCTTCTCGAAACCTCATCCCAACCCACGGACAATGGCCCGGCGCAGACGATGCCTCCCGCTCTACCTCTGATCCGTCTCCTCGCCCCCGTGTTCTCCACAGCGCGCAATGCCAGCTCGAGCGTCTTCATGCGCGGCGGGAGTTGGGGCGGGAGAAGCTTCCCTGCCGCGAGGGCCGCTCTCGTCGCACGCTTCAGCGCATCCCCCGCCGCCGCGCTGAAGAAGCACGAGATGCCACCCCGGCCCAAGCCCCCTCCAGACTCGGATATCGAGGAGTCCTACCTCAAGGGCAGCGGGCCGGGCGGACAGAAAATTGTACGTCTGATAATCGAAAGCAAACCTTCCTTGTGAACCCATGATTCGGGCGGTTCAAGGGTGCACGACACAGAACTGACGAACGCACCTCATACAGAACAAGACAAGCTCGGCCGTACAACTCAAACACATACCCACCGGCATCGTCGTCAAGTCCCAGGCCACTCGATCCAGGTCCCAGAACCGCAAAATTGCCCGCGAGCTTCTGGCGCAGAAGCTCGACGACCTCCAGAATGGAGACCAGAGCCGGTCAGCAATTGTGGGTGAGGTGAAACGTAAAAAGGCGGCTAGTGCGGCGAAGAAGAGCAAGAGGAAGTATCGCAAGCTGGAGGAAGACAAGGCGGAAACAGATGATACTGACAGCGGAGATGCCGCACTGGAGGCTGAAGCGGTAGAGCCGCCAATTGAAGAACGGACGAACGCTCCGAGCGTGGATGTCAAACCACAGAATTCACAAATGCCAAAATGTAAATGACAATTCAATGGCACATGCCACAGGCACCACAAGTGCTTTATTTGAAATCCCGTAATGACTCGTCTAGTCGTAGGATTCGTTCGTCTCCGTCATCCCCACCCTTCGATTGCTTCCCACGTCCACTAACAGCCTGGTTGCCACCGCCAATCTGTAGGTTAGAGCCAATATCAAATTGCAACCCAGCGCATCTATTCTCCAGTGCAATATGTATCACGTGGGTCAAAGCACACCGATCATTGGGAACCAAAAGGGAACTGTAAGCAAAGTGTATTGTATGATCGACCTCAGGTGTAAACGTGTCCGCCCCTATACGCGCCCACGCGCACCCTGCAACAAAACAAGGACCAGATCTTTCGGGAGAAGGGTCGACCCAAACTTCTTGACCATGTCACCAACTTTTCGCCAATATGAGACCGTACTGCGATACATGCAACGCCGGGGAGACCTTGCACCGCTCGTGACCTCTTTGGGATCGATGTGCTTTCGGAAGGGCGAGGAATTGATTTGGGAAGTAATTCGCTAGTAAATGATTAGCATGTACCTTGCGATTCTCGACAGTTTGTTATGTACCTTAGAAGCACTTGCGGTGGACAATGGAGGGACCGCTCTCGTCGTACTCCTGCTTGGAGATCCACATCTGCTGGAAGGTAGAAAGGGAAGCCAGAATGGAACCACCGATCCAGACGGAGTACTTGCGCTCGGGGGGAGCGATGATCTTGACCTTCATGGAAGAAGGAGCAAGAGAAGTGATCTCCTTCTGCATACGGTCGGAGAGACCAGGGTACATGGTAGTACCACCAGACTGAGACTTCGTTAGCTTGCGACTTCAGGGACTGATGTTTTGTGGCACCTACCATGACAATGTTGCCGTACAGGTCCTTACGGACGTCGACATCGGACTTCATGATGGAGTTGAAGACGGTAACGTGGATACCACCAGACTCAAGACCAAGGACGGAAGGAGCGAACAGAGCCTCAGGAGCACGGAAACGCTCGTTGCCAATGGTGATGACCTGACCGTCAGGAAGCTCGTAGGACTTCTCCAAGCTGGAGCTCTGGGAAGCGGTCTGGAGCTCCTGCTCGAAGTCAAGGGCAACGTAGCAGAGCTTCTCCTTGATGTCACGAACGATTTCACGCTCGGCAGTGGTGGAGAAAGAGTAACCGCGCTCAGCGAGAATCTTCATGAGGTAGTCGGTCAAGTCACGACCAGCCATGTCGACACGGGCAATGGCCTGGGGAAGAGCGAAACCCTCGTAGATGGGGACAACGTGGGTGACACCGTCACCGGAGTCGAGGACGATACCGGTGGTACGACCGGAGGCGTACAGAGACAGGACGGCCTGGATAGAGACGTAGAACGCGGGGGCGTTGAAGGTCTCGAAAACGATCTGGGTCATCTTCTCTCTGTTGGACTTGGGGTTGATGGGGGCCTCAGTCAAGAGGACGGGGTGCTCCTCGGGGGCGACACGGAGCTCGTTGTAGAAGGTGTGGTGCCAAATCTTCTCCATGTCGTCCCAGTTGGTGACGACACCGTGCTCGATGGGGTAGCGGAGCGTCAGGATACCACGCTTCGACTGTGCCTCATCACCGACGTACGAGTCCTTCTGGCCCATACCAATCATGATACTGATTCACATGTTAGATCGCGGCGCGGAGGGTGGAAATTACCGCAGCGAGGGCGAGAAGCAGACATACCCATGGTGGCGAGGGCGACCGACGATGGAGGCTACGTGGTGGTTAGCATCGACAGCACACGCCGATTGATGACCGCAAATCTGAGTACCCCCTGAAGAGGCGGGTTGCGGTCTGCGGATGGGGGGACTTACGGAAGACAGCTCTGGGCGCATCGTCACCGGCGAAACCGGCCTTGCACATACCCGAACTAGGCTCTAGTTAGATTCAAATTCATCGGTATGGATATGGAATCGATGGACGGAGAGCCAATGGGTTTATCGGGAGAGCTGACGTTGGCCAGATCCCAACGAAACCCGGGAGGCGGAATGGTCGGTGAGACGGCGGGGACAGCTTACCCATTGTCGATAACGAGGGCAGCAACCTCCTCTGTGATGCGGAAACAAGTCAGCGATTATGTCCTGGAAGCAGACGCAGGACGAGGGATGCCGAGCATCGCGACGAGAGCCGGCGGCGAAGGCATCGATCGTTTCGGAGGGCCATTGAGTTGGCAAAGGAGATGGCGTCACGTACCTTCCATTGTGAATTATGTGGTCGTTAAGACGGGGGAAATAGAGTAGAAGATAGTAACAAGAAAAGCTCACTCGATTCCGGAATCGTGCGAGCGAGATGGAACTGACAAAGTCCTGAGCGGATGGCAGAGAACTTGGGGAGAGCACGTCGATGGGTGGTGAGGTCGAAAGTGGGAAAGGTTACGGGAAGATGAGAGGTAGTCGATTTTGGGTGGAGGAGGGGGGAAGAAGGAGAAGAGTGGGAATGGCCAGCACAGTGTGAGTGGTGTGCGGTGAGAGCGAAGGCCTGGGACGTGGAAGCGGTAGCGGTGCGCGGAGCGGTGCTGCTGAGGCCTCGTTGGCTGGCGGTCGTGCGCTGGCGTGGATGTCAGAAGGAGACCTACTAACCCGACTTGTGGGAGAGCGAATGGGGGGCTGCTGGGCAAGTAAAGGTGGATTTCTGGGTAGAGGCAGGCAGGCGGGAAGCAGGTGCAGCACACCTCAGCAATGATGAGCAAAAGGCGACACTGTACAAGTGGCAGAAAGTGGCAGTTCCCTCGGGGGACTGGGTTGCCGCTTTAAGGGCTAAATGAGGCCCGTGCTTGCTGCTCTCGCTGCTCAGTGCTTGGATTGGGCAAGTAGTGTGGTGGGGTACGGGAGCGAAGGCAGGCGGTGGCAGGAGCAATTCGCCGCTGGATGGGGACAGTTAAGTTGCGATGGTACCTTTCAATTTGGTGAGACCAGCCGCAATGTCCGAGGTATCTGGTCTGTTGTGTCCTTTTCGTCCGGCCTGGGCCGCTGGAGGGATTGGGATTGCTGGTGGCTGGGGGAGGAGGAAGAAGAAGACGCGCTGCAAGCTGCTGCAGGGCGAGACGAAGTTGGTGATATTCGAGGTCGAGACTTGGCCTGGAATTTGCTGTCGTATTGCACCTCTTTTTGACCGCGCAGAACCCTTCACTTTTCTATCCGCACAGTTCTCTTTATTCGGGCTGCCCGTGATCACGCTTCTACCTATCCGAGATAGTCTTTGCTGCTAACAGCCATTATAGCCCTTCGTCTTATCTAGGTAGCGACTTAGACGCCCAGGCAGCGCATTTACGTCGCTAGCTAGCGTCCACCTCATCTTACCCCTCCGCAAAAGCTTATCTTACCCCCCCCTATAGACGCTTTATAGGTTTAAGCTTAGTTTAGGTATACTACTAATATTAGAAGAGATTTTATAAGTATACTAATAAATAGAGTTTAAAGTACTTTTTATATTATAGAAAATATATAAATTAATAAATAAATAGCTTAATTTAAAGTAAAGTATAAATTATAATCTAATTATATTTTTATATAGTTTTAAAACTATTTTAGTAGTAATTTTTTTAGATAGCTTCTTTTATATATATATATATAAAAATAATTATAATAATATCTTCTATTAATAGCTAAATAGCTATTATATTACTTATTATATATTTAGCGCTAAGTATAAATTATATATATATTATAATTAGAATAACTAATAATATAGATATTTTAAAACTAATATTAAGATTAAAATATTAAAATAAAAATACTTTATTTAAAAAAAAAGAAACTTTTAAGTTTATATTTAAAAATAAAAAATAATAAGAACTTATTATTATAAATAAGAATAAATAAATTAACTATATATATATATATTTATTTATAATATAAAACTTTTCTAATAATATATAGTTAATACTTTAAATATAATTTAAAATATATAAAAGTTATAATATAAATATATTTAAATTATATTCTAACTTATATTTAAAGAATACTTAAAAAGAAATAGAAGAACTATTATTATTTTTTTTATTAAGAAATATAATATATCTAATTACTATTAAAATAGTATTCTTTTACTAATTTTTTCTTATTTTCCTAATTATAGATCTAAATAATATTATATATATTATAAATCTAAATAAAAAAGATATAACTTAGTAAAAAAATATTCTAAACTTAATATATATTTATAGAAATATATTTAGATTAAATTTCTAATAAAGTTTAAATAAGTATAATATTATTATATAAATATATTAAGCTATAGTAAAGAAATATTTTTAACCTTTTTAAGAGTATATTATAAATATTATATATTAAGTTACTTTAGTATTAAGATCTATTTTAAAATAAATCCTTAACTATAAAGATTAGAAGTTATAGATCTTAATTAGATTTTAGAGTTTCTATAAAATTAATAGTAGAGAAATATTATTACTTTTAAAAAGATAGATATTTTAGTAACTTAATAAATAGTAATTTAATATTTCTAAAGTATTTAGTAGTATTTTTAAAAGAATTATATATATAAAAAAGGATATTTAGCTACTTATTATCTAAAGTAAGTAATAGCTTAAGTATACTTAAGATTATATTTTAATTATATTTAGATTATATTCTAATATAAGTATAAATAATCTCTAAGTATATATTAATTATTTATTATAAAAACTATATACCTTTATATAAACCTAGAATAAAGTATTTTTAGAAGCTTATTAAAGAGCTATTTAATACTCTAGAGATTTAGAGATTTTTAAAAACTTAGATTAAATAGTTCTACTTTATAAGTTAAAGCTTTTTAATACTATAGCTAATCTAAAACTAATATTATTATATAGTTATTAATAAATAAATATAAAAACTAAAATACTATAAGTTTATTAACTTTAGATTATAATTAGAATATAGCTTTAATATAATTTTAAGAAAGTTTTACTTAGATAGTAATAATATATTAATTCTAATTAATTATAAATATAAATTTAAGCTTATTATATTACTAAACTTAGATAA